ATTTTTCCCGCTCGAATATTTCAAATTCAAAACTCCAACTGTCGGTTTTGACACGTGTTGGACGCTGGCCATCGCTGCAGTCGCGTCCCATCGCCTTCCCCATGCGCCATCATTGCGCCGCCTGACGTGGCATGTTCTTGCGTGGCCACGTCGCTCCCTTTGGCCTCCTCTCCTCCTATATAAAGGCCTCCACCCCTCTCCTTTGCTCACTTTTCGCACTTCGCCTCCTAGAGCTTTCACCGGTCAAGTTCCTTAGCTTTCGCTATCCAGCCCTCCGAGTCAAGTAAGTTCTCCCTTCCTTCTCTTTTTTCTCTCCCGGCCATGTCTTCGTTTAGCGATAGGATCTCGTCCTCAGAGGACTGCTCCTCTGAGGATTCCAACTCATCTTCCTCGACCGGGTCTTCTTCTCCTGGATCTACGCCCGGTCAGGTTCCCAACTCTTCCATTCCCGACCCGCATCCTGTAAATCAGGTGCCCGGTGAAACCTTCGTGGGGAGGGATGACCCGGTTGATGACGAACCGGGTCCCTGCGATCCCGAACACGAAACCCGGGATGCGTGGGAGGCGCGGCTTCACGCTGCCGGTTACTTTCCGCTTCCCACTTTCTATTTCCTTGACATACCTTCCCGTGTGTCCAAAATTGCTTTAAATAAAATCCGTAGGAGGCTCCCGGATGGGTATACCCTCCTCTACAAACCCAACTGGCCCAACATCGTTGAACCCCACCGGGAGGATAGGATAGGGTTCCATACCATTTCCCTGGACGCGGGCATAGTTTTTCCCTTTCGCCCCCTCCTTACTGAGGTTTGCCATGCGTTTAGGATCCTGCCTGGCCAAATAACTCCTAACGCCCACCGGTACCTCCACTCCTTTGTAAATATCTGTACCCATCTCAAAATCTTCCCTTCTTTGCGTCTTTTCCTTTTTTGCTTCGAAGTCCTACCGGGCGGATCCGGCTGCGAAGGCTTTGTATTCTTCAAAGCCCGTACCGGTAGGAAGTTCATTTCCGAAGTCCCCTAGAGTAACCGGGGATGGAAGGAAAAATTTGTCTTCATCGAGTTTCCCCCCTTCTTCACTCCTCTGGCCGGTCTGAAATGGAATGACCATCTCCTAGACCAAGAGTACGCTGCACCGGCTTCCTCCCCTGACTTGGAGGCGAGTCTTGAAGTCCTCATGCGCGGGGATCCTTACACCGGGAGGGTCTTCCACTATGGCAGCTGGGTCTGGAGGGTCGAGTCGGGTGGTGAGG